GTCGTGGGGGCTGCGCGTCGCTTCCCTCCCGCATCACTCTACTGGGAGGGTTGGCCGGGGTGCCTTAAAAGGGGAGGAAAAGAGCGGCAGCTAAGTCACTACTTATTCACGGCCCTCCCTCAGGTAGGCGAGCCTCCATGTTCAGAGGCAATGTATCTCTGCCAAGAACGCCTCTGCCAAAGAGGTGTTCGTCTCTCGAGCCTTGCTTCTTTGTAGGTGTCCTGGAGGCCGATGAGGAAACAGGATGTGGGCCAAATGGACCCTCACCCTGACCCAGCGGTGCTCTTACTGTAGAGTGGCAGTTACATGGCGCCTGAAAGCTTGAAGGGAGACAGAAATCTGATGTAAAAATGACATATCAAAGCCCTCTGTGGTCTCACCAGAGTCTTGTGATGAGCACAGTGGGGGAATAATACTGTGGCCTTCCTGACCTGCTTTTAGTGTTTCCGGTAGTATCTGGTTAGTAAGTGTGTGAAACAGGATACTATATTGATCTGTTGTCTTTGGAGATCTAGGGTTGCTCTGACTGTCTTTTACTTGCATTATACTGTATTTAGTAGCATCCAGACCTTTTTTCCCCCTGTGGGTGGGGCAAAGTGGCTTGTGAACAGAATTCATATATGTTATGTATGCTAATGTAACACATTTTCTTTATGCATCGGTTTGTATATGTTTTGACCTTTACCAGAACGTTCAGTGACATTTGCAAGCCTGCAAACATTGGCAGGAAGATCCCAAGAACTTGGCATTTGAGAGCATTAAATGAAAAACAGAAGGAATTGTGAACTCCAGCAAAAGTTTATGTACAAGAGGGGACATTTAGAAGTAATTGTCAAAATGGAGGGGGAGGAAACAGATGAGGAAACACAGCATTAAGTACCTGTTGGGTATTTTCTGCCATTGGTACCCTGAATGTAACATTGAGAATTTCACAGTTTTGATCAAGAAAAGTGTCCCTCTATTTCATAATGGTTTCCTTCATCTTGGGAACATGACTGAACACCTTGTACAGTACAGTGTAAGACAAAGTCTGCAGGGGGGATGTTTAACAGTGGGAGAACAATTGGCTGTGCTTTATCAGAGTTGGGGAATTCTAGAGGAGGCTGGGTTGTCTATTTTACCTACTGTTACCAACAGTCTTTTACTTCAGTTGCTAAAATTGCATCTGCATTACTTGAGTTCTGAACTGTTTATATAGCCATTTTCAACCTTTTTTTGCCATAGCCATTAACAAATATGAAGGAAATACAGTGGGGCCTCGACTTACGAACGTCCGTACTTAAGAAAATTTCAAGTTACGAAAAGCTCCGGCTGCAAAATTTTGCTTCGACTTGCAGCTGGAGGTTCCAGTTACGAACAGAAAAGGGCAGGGGAAAAAGGTGGGGAATTCAAACTGTTGGTGGCAAAGAGGCTGCTTCTTCGCCCCAACGGTTAGGAAAAGGGAGGCTCAGCCTCCTGGGCTTCCAGCACCACCCCGATCGCCGCACTGGGTGCCGATGCTTTGGAAGCCCAGGAAGCTGGCATCCAGTGTGGTGGTCGGGGTGGCTTTTGGCTTCCCGGGCTTCCAAAGCCACCCCGCTGTTCTCTGCCTCCCGTCCCCGCTGCAGGAGGGAGTTTGGATGCCCGGAAAGCCGGCACCCAGCGCGGGGTTCGAGGCGGGTTTCGGCTTCCCAGGTGCCGGGAAGCTGGTATCCGGTGCGGTGGTCAGGGCAGCTTTTGGCTTCCCAGGCTTCCAAAGCCGCCCCCGCTGTTCTCTGCCTTCCATCCCTTCCGCCCTCTGCCTCCCATCCACACTGCAGGAAAGGAGGCAGAGGACGTCGGGTGCAGCTTTGGACGCCCGGGATATTTTTTCTTTGTCCAGAATGGATTAATCGGTTTTCAATGCATTCCTATGGGAAATGCTGCTTCGACTTATGAAATTTTTGAGTTACGGCCATTGGTCCAATACGGATTAATTTCGTAAGTCGAGGTACCACTTAGGCCAAATCAGCATTGTATAAGTCACATAATGTGCCTTTTATGGTGGTGTGTGAAGAATTGTTTCTAGTCTGTGGCCCCTTCAAATGTGCCCTGGCCCCCATTGAAAATGACTGGTTTTGATACTTGTTTGAAATTGTACATTTGTATATAAAAAGACTTTTATAGTTCAGAACGCATCTACTATTTTTGGTATATCTTGTGGACATAATATGGTTTTCCACCTGTGTCTGATGCTTATTTTTTAAAAATGAATTTAATTTATATCCTCCCTATGCACAAAACTAGTAACTGATGCTGAGCTGCTGTAACCCAGAAAGTCTGCTGAAATCCTGTTGCTTAGTGTAGTACGGGTGCAGGTACACTGGCAAAACTGTGGCTTTTTATTCAGTCTTCTTTTACAGTTGTATTACTTTTAGCGAATCACACAAAGGCCCTGGATTGTTTTGATGCCAGTGTCCAAACTTGCCCTCAGATCATGAACTTTTTAAATGATCTAACAAACTTCCTGGTTTGTTCCCATCCCATCCCATCCCCACAGCCAGCCCCCTGCTCCCATTGCTTCCCTATCTGGTCTTGTTGCCTCCTTCTTAGAGCCTCGTGGCGCAGTGGTTAAACCGCTGTACTGCAGCTAAAACTGTGCTCACGACCTGGGATTCAATCCCAGGTAGCCGGCTCAAGGTTGACTCAGCCTTCTATCCTTTCGAGGTCGGTAAAATGAGTACCCAGCTCGCTGGGGGGGGGGGAATGTGTAGCCTGCATAATTAATTTGTAAACCACCCAGAGAGTGCTTGAAGCGCTATGGGGCAGTATATAAGCAGCACGCTTTGCTTTTTTTTTCTCCTCTGGGAGGTGGGACTGCTGTCTCTTAAGATGGCAGTGGCAGAAAAGCAGGAAGAGGAGGAGATGGCAGGACCAGATATGGAGGTGATGGTGGCAGATAGTGGGACTACAGATAGGCAATCTAGCACCACATGGCACCAGTTTGCCCATTTGCATGGAGGTGCTGGTGGCAGATAGTGGGACTACAAATAGGCAATCTAACACCACATGGCACCAGTTTGCCCATTTGCAGCTGGAATGACAATAGAGGAGGAGGAGGCAGCAGGACCAGGTAGGAAGGCTATGGGAGCGGTGCAAAGATGAGGCAGGCTGTGGGGCTGTAAATGGGCAATCCAGTGCCGCGCAGCACTTGATCATCCATTTGCAGCTGGAATGACAATGATGGAGGAAAAGGCAGCAGGACCAGGTAGGCAGTCAAAGGGGGCAAAAGGCAGGTTGTGGGGCTGGGGTTTTTAGTCCCCCCCAGAACTAACATTTAAAAAAAAAACAATTAATGGTTCCTTTTTTTTTTTTTAAAGGTTGGATGGTGTGTGGGTAGCCACAAACTCTGAACTGTCTTTAATGCTCATCTCTACTGCTGATTAATTCTGAAGAAATTGAATTTAAAGAATGCTTGCACAAGGAGTGCCTTGAAGTGTTCTTAGATCTATTTCTTGCTTTTTGTTTTCTGGCGTTCATGCAGTTAAAAAAGAAATAAAATAATCTAAGATTAGGTAATTCTCTAAACTTTGCTAACAGTAGGTAAAAAGAAAAGGTGATAAAGGCTGAAAAGGCTTGTCCTCCTCCCCGGAGTGGTAAGCGAATTGCACGCTGCAGAGCCATTCATAAAATCGCACCGTAGTGGATGGGTGAGTGGCCCGTCCAGTCCCGGGGGGGTGGGGGCTGGACCTTCATTAACGCCACCTGTGCAGGGATATACAAATACGAATACCCCCATCTCTACCTATAATGCATGCAGAAGGTTTCCATAACTTGTTTCATCTCTGAATTTTTACTGTGTTGATTATCTAAGAACTGCAGAGCTGGAAGGGACGCTATGGATCATTGAGTCCAGCCCCTGTCAAGGAGGCACAGTGGGGAATCAAAATTCCAGCCTCTTCCTCCAAAGCCAGATGCCCTAAACTACTGAGCTATTAATATGTTAACTTACAGTTGGTATTTTAAAAGAAAGAAGTTTGGTTTCAGCTGATATTTTATTAGACATGGCTCAAACAACTGAAGGTGTGAGTAGAGAAATGTTTATTTCAGTGGAATGAAGGTCAGTTTTACACAAGCCCTGTTTTTTCTCCAGTTATTAAGACTCTTTAAGAATTTTGCACAGCTTATTTAACATGGTGCTCTGTATAGTTTGTATGAGTGGTTTTCAGTTGTGAGTGAGCATATCAATAAATTGCAAAAGTGCTAGCAGAAAACCTAAGTATGTGGACAATCTGATAGCTATTATTTTTCCCATTGGTTCTACCTTTACCAGTTGCAGACAAGTGTTTTAACCTTTTCTGCTAGAAGGATTAGATTACTCAGTAAAAGACCATTCTGAATTATAATGTATCACCTGAGAATTGCCTCTAATTTGCATCAGTGCATTTCATTTCAATGTTTGTAGCATGCTAAACTATGAGTGGACATCTTACAGCTTCAGTGTTAATCTGAAATGTAAAATGCTTGGGTTTACCCTTAAGAGACTAGAACCCTTAAGAGGCATAAAACAATGAATCTGAATTTTTTAAAAGCTTTCTGATTAGTGTATTTCAGTACATATCTGTAGTATTTATGAAGGCTTTCACGGCCGGGATCTAATGGTTGTTGTAGGTTTTTCGGGCTCTTTGGCTGTGTTCTGAAGGTGGTTCTTCCTGACGTTTCGCCAGTCTCTGTGGCCGGGCGGTCGTTTGTGGGTGGGAAGGAAGT